ATTCGTTAACAATCCTAAGATTTTAAATGACGCGCTACAATTCGTCTTGTTTGCCTTGAACTGTAAACCGCATTTAAAAATGTTTTCAATAAAAATTCGGTATAACAATGCTGAACCGTTTCCACGAGTGTTTGAAGGATTATGCACTTTTCTTGGAAAGTATTTCCGCGATCTCGTACTCCAAAAACTTTCCCCGGTATTTAGACGAGTTTTTTATTAAAACATAAAAACTTATCAGCCATACTATAGTACACGTGTGTTCTTTATACATTATATTTACCTGCGGTTTCGGAACATCGTGTTATCGTAACGTTAAATTTTGTCGTATACATTTTCTTATAGGATTTAGAGCAATACATTTTTATATAAAATAAACATTAAAATTTCGACAACAGATTTTATTAAACTTTCTCAAAGATTGTAGATTTATCCATTCATAATTTGCTAATGGTCAATAATATTTTTTTGTTTTTTAATAACTATAATAAATGTTTGGACCGAAAAGTCCGTGGATAGTAAGTGTACTGAGAAGTATTGTGAAACTGTACAAACTACCGGGTTTGAAGTTGAATATTCAATATTACATTAAATAAATATTCAATTTGAGTTTCAATACGTTGTAAATCGTTAAATATTTGACCATGGGCAAGTTTTTTTTGAATAATTCAATATTGTTTACGTCTATTCCAACAAAAACCTAACTGTGAAAAAAGGGATATGTTCTAGATTCTCACTCAAAAAGTCAGTTAATTCAAATAACTGTAGTAATATTATTGTCAAGCCTGCTTTTTATTTATTTTTCTTTATGAGAAAAGACTTTGGCCGAAGGATTGCCATGTACTCAAATTTCTTATTAATGGTTACATATTTTAAATTACAGGATTTAAAACCTGACAGTTTTAACATCCAGAAAAAAGAACAGTAAAATATAAAATATAAATTATTTATTGTAATAATATTATTTGGGCATTATTTTTTTCTTTGTTCGTAATTTTTTTATATTTATTATCTGATTTGATCTACAGTGTGATTCAATGATTAGAAAACGATCATGTGATATAACCATGTGTAACTTCTTTATAAGAGGACACATGAAACCACAAGTTTACAAGATCGACCAAGGTAGTATTAATATCATAAGTATGACACTAATCACCATGTACTACATGTATTTATACCATGCCATTGATTAAGTAAGTCGATTAATTATAATTAATGCTATAATATTTAATAATTGAAACTTAATGATTATATGTCATTACACGATTCAAAATGTTCAAATTATAGGTAACGCATGATCGTATGACTACTTAAAAAATCATATCAATACGTACAATAAAACAATAGGTATACGATATGTAAATTATGTTCAAAAATCTTATCACGGAACGCTTTCTCGTTTAACTGACATCCATTGCTTACGCACAACATTTAGTCATTTACTCTTCTCAAAATACACGGTTACATCTGGAGTTGTTATTTTATACCAGTGGTGCCTAACCCGCGGCCTGCGAGCTTCATGTGACCCTCGAAGGTAATTAGGATGTCCGGGAATTGGGCCAAAATTAACCTTTTTTCAAAAAGTTATACAGTAATTGAGCCACTACAGTTTTACATTTATAATAGGTAGACCCGTTGATTGGGCCACTATTTTCAACTATTTTTTATTATTGTATCCGTTAATTGGGTCACTATTAAATTAATATTTCATGTATAAATATTGCTACAATACCTATCAATGCACACAAAACTTTAATCGAAGCGACCGGGTGTCTTATCAAAATATAATGAAATTATATAGAATTATCAGGGGCTGCCATAGTCTCATCGAATTAAATGGATAAAAATAGCTAAAAGTTTAATTTACAAAGATTATAGAACGTCGTGATTGTTTAGTTGATTGCAAACTATACGATCTACGTTTAGTAATATATGCTGATTCGGTAATATACGAGTAAAATGGAATTATTGGAATTTATAACGACGGAGACAGAAAAATAATTATTAATTTTTAATAATTATAAATTTTCTTCTCCTCACGAGAGTCAATGTGGCAAAATTCGTTAGCGATGTTGTTTATATTATTAAGTATTATATTATAATATATATTATATTATATATATATTATACATTATATTATATTATTATATTATTAGTATTTTACTTTTTATATTATATTCAATTTGTGAATCCTGCGTATGGCATTATTAAAAAAAAAAAATTGTATTTTATGCATTATAAAAATAATTATTAGTTAATAAACATTAGATAATTGTATATTTTTATAATGTTCATTTATGGCCCAATCTTTGGGTACACTTTAAAAATATAGATTTAATTTGTGGCCCAATCTCCGGGTAGTGAAATGGAAACAAATATTTTATATGAAGCAGGTAGGTACATAAAATGTAGCCCAATTACCGACCGCCCGGTAATCAATGCGGCCCGTTACAATTTTTTTAAAATGAAACAAAATATAAAAAAAATGTAAAAATAATTATAAAATACATCTATTTTTAAATGTAATAATTTGATTTTCGAGCATTTTCAAATAGAATTCAGCATCTACCTGCATGTATATTGTATATATACTATGTGTAACAAAATAACATTATTAGATTAATATTGATATCAATATTAATCTAATACGAATTATATATATAATTCGTACTTTTATATTTGGTGGCTTGCTCTAAAATAATTGTTTACCAAAGTGGCTCGCTGAAGAAAAAAGGTTAGACATCAATGTTTTATAGGATTGTGTATAGAACATAGGTGTGCGCGTGTATACATGGATAAGTGCTTATTATTATTTTTGGACAACGTTATTCTATATCCCGCACACAAAACGTCGTCGTCACGATTATTTTTTAACTTGTTACACTCGGAACGTATTAGAACCGATCCTTTATTACATACTCGTATATCCATATGGTACGATCAGTTTTCCTATCCTCGAAAACTTAGTGCAACGATTTATGCATATGAGTTCAATATCTAAAACCCGACCCTCTGATCTCTAAATATACTGTTTCAATAATACATTTACACATCAATTTTCGAGTGCAATACAATTATTGTCATTTGTGGCGATGCGTTCACGTCCGCGGATCATCTATAATATTCTATGCCATTTGGCAATAATGAAACATGACTCTTTCTGCAAATGACCAACACTAGGATGGCTACTCGTGTGTCAAAACCATAACTTTCATGATGAAATGTCGCCAAGATTGTAAAAAGAGCTAATCGCTCCTGAAGTAGAGCTATTCCATGGTAAGTAACGGATTTGTATGTAATAAAATGATAAAAGTATATAAATATTGATATAAAAATAAATATCATAAACGTGAAATATTTAACAGACATTTTTATCTTACATTATTTTTCAATTATTGATCAAATAATAAAAATTTTAAATTATATACAAAGCCATATAAGTTTATTGCATACATCCTTTTTTTATTTTTACTATAAACTAGACTGTCGAATGGATATGAAGATATATCAAAAATCAAAAAATATAATCTATATTATCTTATTTATTACAATATTATCTTATGATACAAGTATAATCATATCCTACATAATAATTGGTTGTTACCAATATGTCTATAAATCAGGTCCATGTACCTGACACCCACTATTTTGAAATTAGGGTACAAGACTATGGGCTCTCGTTTGTGCATCGTTGGTGCGTTAATGCATTTTTTCTCCCGTCGTTAGTGAATCATCCTTTCAAAAGTCATTTACGTTTCATACAGTGGGGTGCTGGAGAAATTTTAATTCCAATTTCGAATTTTCGAATCCAAAACGTTTTATTCGCATGTGTTTCGCAAGTATCCTAATTAAGAAATGATGGATGCCAGGGATATGGATCTCTTTAAATTGTAAAGTTTTCAACGTACGAAAACACGAAATATTAGTCGTAATATTAATTATATAATAATAATATATATATTAATATATTAATATAATAATATAATAATATAATAATATAATATTTATATATATATATTAATATATTTATTATATTAATTATTAGTCATACGATATATTTATATCAATATACGAGAGTAATTATCCTACAAACCAGAAATATTGGCCACTACTAGATAATTTAACTATTATTCAACTGTTAAATTATTATGTGTACATTTTTTATTTCCATTCCGAAAATAATATTCGTGGTGACGCGTCGGGAGAAGATCAAGTTTTTGGTCATTCGGAATTTACGATTCAATATTAGTACCGAGAGTCGATTCGAAGAGAAGTAATAATAATATTATTTTTCGTAAAAACCCGTGGATTAGTTCTTACGTCATGTTTACCGACTGACGTAGTCGACTCTAATAGTGTATTATTTAAAATACATGTACGAGTATACCCAGGCACATGTAAAATCGTATTTCAGTCATTCACGGTTGCACGGGAAAATTAACGTAAAAGCCCTTTGCAGGAGAACGTTATACGGATGAGTTCAAGGTATGATGACGTAGGTGTGTGGGCGCGTGCGTGCGTGCAACGATCGACTGAGCGTTATTCCAAAATCCTGGGATAAACCTTTTATTTTATTATTTTATTTTTACTGCAAACACGTGCTTTACCGTCGATGACTCCAGTACACCGTTTATTAGACGCATTTTATGTAAGTAGACCGGCTACCGTGTAACAATTTTCTCTGGCAAGAAACTGCGAAAGAAAAAGGATTTAAAGAAACGTGTACGTATACATTATATTATGAATCATACATATCGGTGTTACTTACACGCGAGAACAGTGCTTGGAGCCGTCTATCATTGAAACAGTGTGACGGCCGGGACGATAAGACAATAAGCCAACCGCGTGCCCCCCCCCCCCAACGTCCGGTTGATTTGTATACGAAAATTATCATAATCAATATTTAAATTAATTTTTCCAATAATGCCGATAACGCGCGTGCGTATTACAAAGCAATAAATCGATAACAATTATCACGGACACACCGCAGCGCGCAGTGATGTGATCGATATTAGTGCACATACCTTTACAATACTATAAAACAGTACGGTATATGTCCCCACACGTTGCACTCGCACGATTTTCTGTACAACAAGTACGCTAGTTTTTGACTTGAAAATCAATTTGAAAAACGAAATCGATACGCCGCGACACTACCAGCCTATTGCGCGATGGTTGGTCTTAACGCGTTCCGGCTAATGGCCAGCTGTAGACGATTGTCGATCTTGGGTAAGTTAATTATGATATACATCACTACAGGACGGATTCGAACCCGTAGAACATACTTTTAAGATTTTTCGTATACTACATTAACAATAATATCCCAAGTCTAACAAGGACATGTCTGTATACCTACCGATATTTATAAATGTATTATCGCATCACACTATAATACTGAACGGTAAAAACACTGACCAAAAGATGTGTATAATATATAAATATAAACGACGGTTACGTGATGTGATAAGTCGACGGTGAAATAATGTTAGGTATTGAATAATCGAAATTATCCACAGTACTTTTTACAAATTTAAACTAAGATCCGCTTTCAGAATGTCCAACGCCTATAAGGATAGATAATGAGACCGTCATAATGTAAGGAAAGTGTGTATATTAATTAGAAAACGATTTATTTGCAGTTTATTACGTAGTAAGTAATCAATCATTGACAATTTAAAACGTCGGTGCCCTACAAATTGGAATTTAAACTAAAAAAAATTAATAAATTAAAAAGTACCACCGTCTTATAATAAAACAAAATAAAAAAATTCGTCTTAGCCAGACAAAAACCACAAGTGAGTTTTTAAATAATGGAATTACACAAATATCTTAAATATCCAAAATGTAATCGAATGTGTAAACTATACTATCAGAAAGTTTCACTGAAACTAGTGTTAATTTTTTTCTTGTTTGCACTTCTGCACTTAAACTTTAAACTTAAATTTATCAAAAGAATAAAAAAAAATATTGAAACCTATTCACGAAGTAATGCAATTATTTTTACTTTTGTATATATACTGTTTCCAAATATTTTAAGCATTTTAATTTATTACATTTTAGCATATGATTACATACAGAACTACAGAGGGGGTCACTTTCCAAAACGAAAATTACTTAATTTGTTGACGATTGCCGACTATATAAATAGGTTATTCATGAGGTGTGAGGGGAGGGAGTATTTCACCACTTTAACTTCAGCTATGCGTGCGCAGTGCGTCGCGGTGCGTCTCGGTGCGATTTATCGAAAAACGTTCGTCGGTTGGTGTACTAAACCGCTGCGGGTTGTCATTCGCGCGGCTCGACTCGAGCCAAATCCGAAGTCACTCGCGAATCGTGATAATGACGTGCTCCACAACATATTTATCCGTGAAGGGTGTACAAGACAACACATTAACCATCACCAGTCCCTTTCCATCCGCGCGCAGCACGGGTTCAACGTTTTTAACAATGTTACACACGTTCAAGCACATCCATTGTATGGCACGGCTGGATAAATGAGAGTACATTATTATGCTCGCACATTTGATTAGTACCTGCGTGGGCGTAGTGAGATACAAGGAACGACACGGAGGAGTCCAAAGAGTTGTTCTCCTTCTGTCAATATTCTGCATCCTCCTGTAAGGTCTCAACATCAAAGTAGTTGGACAGTATTTGTTGTTAAACCCTCACAAAAATAACCAACAGGCTAACTGTGACACATACCTTAAGAGGGCTGGAGCTAAGCATATTTTTGTAACACATTCTACATGGTGAAAACTACCGATTTCCCGTCTACATCAGTACGATTGGTGTGTATTCTAGCGATAAAGATTTTGAAAATCAATGTCGACATGAAGGCTACTTGAGATACTTCATGCCCGTTTTCTAGATTCATATCCTCGATTTCTAAATGTTGAATTTTATAACTATAAACATCCCCTAATCATATATTCTTTGTTTAAAATAAAAATAAAATACAGCTAAAAATACTAGGTTGAACGATTTTCAGTACACCTCAAGACCGATACTGATTCTGTTTTTAGTATCCTTATAGCTTCAGTACATTATGGACTGATATAACGTACTGATGGAAAAAAATGGGTGATTTTTATTAAACGTTGCACGTGTGAAAGACAAAGATAACACAAATCGGTATCGAACCACTTGGAAACATAAGTTAAAATAAATGATTCAGAATGATATTGCAAATCGTATGATCCGGATCGAAAAAATATTAATCTGTTTAATCTTGAGTGATCAACAACCATATTAAAAAAAAAAAAACTACCTCGCAGATGTGTCCGCGTGATCGAAAAAAACGCAGCTATTTTAATATTTTTGTACTAAGTACTGCAATAATCGACAACAAAACAGCAGTTTTAAAACGATTTGGTGCGACTGCAGGGATTGCTGTTTTCGTCAAATGAAACGATACAATTAAAATAACAGGTAAAATACGTCAACATATATATAAATATATATGTATAACAGACATTACTATCTCAAGTCAATTGAAAATGATATATAAGTACTTATATGTGTGTGTATATATATATATATATTTGTTTTTACCTGCTATTTTTGCATTAAAATGTAAGTATCAAATTGTAATACTTTTCTATTACATCAATAAATACGAAATACGAGTATAAATCTTTTCGGATTGATTTTGATTTTGTTATATGCTTGTAAACCGAGTGCATTACTTATTTCTGTCACATGTTCGATTCGAAAAGATAGGTACACTTACCATTATTTTAACCCTAGTGTGATTCGAACATTTTGGTTCGATCGAGAACCATGTAATTTTTACTCATGTACCAGTAATGTATTTACTCATTTCGCTAGTAAAAAAAATAATAAAAAATTGCATCTAGGTACTCGTTTCTTAAAGAATAATGTAAAAATATTTTAAATATCAGTATCAAAAACGTATTATAACGCTATAAATACGTATACGATTTATCGGACCATAGTTAATGAATTTTCAACGGAATCCTGGTCCAGGTGCAGCCATCATTTAATCGCATTGGCGCCGGATTCCATGTTATTATCATTCCGATTATTAGCATCATTATATTAATATTATTACATTCGAACACACAAAAAGCTTTTCGACCTATTATAATTGAGAAGAATGACATTACCTCGCTTTTCACGACCCGCTCACTTATGCGTATAAAACCAAAGTACGCGCGTACCATCGATAATTGATAACCTTCCGGCCTGACCTATACAAAAGCGGTTGTCCGTGTATCGTATAGTTTACGTATTATATTTTACATATACAGCCAAGGCGTAAAGTGTGGAAGGACACAAGAGGGGACTGGCCTCTCGCAGAGCCCAAAAAGCATCCCCTTAAATGTTTCTCCGTAAAGTTCACTGAAAAGCTTAACTGTACGGTAAATATAATAGACCACGTTGAGAATTACTGATCGCTTTTTAAATTGATTGTAAATTGAAAATAAAAAATTGTTTTCATTCTATAACACTATCGACAATTACGTCACGTCCGGCGCTTGATCGTAGCCAATCGTTCTGAGAAACGGTGTTTTCCTTTTAGAGAAGGGGTATGAAATATTTTTAAGTTGTGTGTCTATCAACAATAATAAATATAGATTATTTGTAATAGGTAACTTCTACGTTACGCTTTAGATTACAACAATCGTTAATTTCCGATACGAAATGCAATATGTATCACAAGCGTTATCCCAGATTATTTGTACTTTTAAACAAATCGGTTTTGATTATCAAATTGATAAAATATAACGTACAATAGTGCATATATGTATTGTACAGTAAATACAAAAATTAACAATCACCGCTATTACTATTTACTTATTACTGTTAATAAATAAACTAAGATTTTTCATGCTCCTTATCTAGAAATTAAAATGGCCATTACTCAGAAAATATTCAACGGATAATTATGTATGTTACATTAAAGTTTTTAGAATAACATTTTATGCAATGCAACTATATTAAAATGTATATTAAGAGAACAGCTTGAAAGTTATTTCTTAATAGCGATTAAAGGGTGAAAATAAAAATATTATTAGTAGTTATACAGTGTGTTCAACAATACAGGTAACACGAAATATTTCGAACGCATGACCTTGTATGCAATTCAGATTTTTTTGTAATGCATAAAGGACATAAAAATTATATTTATTTTTCATAAATCTTAATTTTTAAAAAAAAAATTCTGGGCATGCACAATATAATAATTTTTTTTAAATGGCACCCCCCATTTTTGAGTACAAATTTGAATTATGTGAATTTTTTCAAGCAACTTAAACCTTTAAAGTTTTGCTCTATCTTCAAAATTGACTGATTGAAAATGAGTTAAATTTTCGATTTATAACATTTGTATGTATCGTATTTTTCAATAGTCTACTTAGAGTTTTACAAATTTATAAGTGATTTCGTATGAATTTTTCTGAATAATTAAGTGTACTGTCATAAGTACAAGTAATTTTAGTAAATTAACAAAAATTATACCATTTACGAGAAATTTGAGTTAAAATTTCTGTAGAAGTTGTGTAAAATGGCGCGCGTGCATGGCCGACTGAACGAGGTGCCGATATTTTGTAACGAGATTCTCGTGGCTCGAGTTAAGGCCGCCACGGTATTTTATTTCACATGTTCGCAATTAAAACATATAAAACATTTAATAATAAACATATGTTTATTATTATTAATATTTTTTTTTTTTTTAATATAAAACCATGTATAGATACCGAAAATGGTGATCGCTTCGTGACAATGAGTTAGAACATAAATTACCATGACGCAATAACAATACAATAAAACCGTAACTCTGAGTAAAACATTTATAGCATAAGAGATAAATATTTTTAAAAATAAAGAGTTAGATATGCAAAATATAACACGCACTAGGTACACAAGCCCCTAACATATGCATGATTGGCAAATTGGGTTTTTTTTTTCGATAATGGTGAACATTGGGTTGAATGTATATTAAGTTGTTCGAGAAATCGCGTACGCAATAATTTCAACGAACATAATAGTATCATAATACCGCTGCGTTATGCACTATGTACGAAACTTAAATTGTTTTAAGAACACATGCCGTTACAAAGATTTCAACGGCTTGTGGACTGATACGCAGAGTTTGGATTTTGTAATTCCAAAAAAACTTTTAAAATAAAATACATTTACCAAAGCGAAAGAACACCAAAAAAACTAAAAAAATAAAACAAATATTAAGAAAGGCGCATAGAGAACTTTTTTAAATCTTACAAAAGTATAATAATTTAAGGTATACGAGTAAGAGAGTTACCTAAAAATTCTTAATGAAAATTCTTAATTCTTAATTTCTTAATGACACATACAAATATAAGATATTTAAAAAACTTCATATTGATAATCAACAATTGCAAGCATCAATCTAAAAAATGGGTAGATGAAACTCTATGGTTTGTCTTGAATTTTAAAAGTAATTTTGTAAAATTGTTAATAATAACAGAAAAAAAAATAAACTCAAAAGCAGAACCGACCAAAAAGAGCTTTTTAAAATAAAATAGCTAAAACGGCAAGTTGAATAAGATTCGATACGTATTATACATCGTGGCGGTGATATAGAAATATAAAGCCCAGAAAACCACGGCTTTTACAGATCATTACAGTTGAATTTACTTATTACGTACAATGAAAAACATTAAGTAGCTTATTCGTAAAGTCTTGAAGTTCGAACGCACTAGCGCAAATTAATGTCTATGATTATAATATTGGCTGGGCGCTGTTCAAAGACAATTTCAATGGGCCATGGTCGTGTATTTCAAATACGGTTAACAAAATTAAGTTCGTGAAAACAATGCAATTGCCTTTTGTAATCGCGAACACGCATAGAACTTGTATGATATACGAGTATGACCCAAGGATAATATGGTCGAATAGGAAAAATTTGGTACATTATAAATGCAATGTTTAACTTAATTTTTCAAGCGAACCATTATAGTTTTAAAATGGACTAGTGAAATATATAAAAATCTCGCGTTGTTTAGGTTAGATTGGTTTAACTCACCCGTCGATCCCACCCTGAAACTCATGTCGAAAAATAACCATTTTATTAGATTTTATAAAAATATTGTATCGATTTTACAAATATAATAACCTTTAAAGTGGTTTGTGTTTTTTTTTTTGTGTGTATTTTAGAAGCGAGCAGACGATGGAAATCAAATATCGGCTTCGTCGGTCTGGGAAACATGGGAGTTCCGATGGTGAAAAACTTATTGAAAAACGTAAATATTATTCTTATTGATGCAAATTTTACGAGAAAAATACCTAGAAAAAAAAGGTCTGTGCAAATATGTTTTCACGCTGTTTATTTATACTACATAATATTATGTTTATAACACTGTGTTTGGTCATATACCTATAACATTCTCGTCGTCGTTACGCGTATACTCGTTTCGAGATGACTCAAAGAAGTGCTTGTTTTTTTCGAATACTACCGCTCACTCCTGCAAGGTAATTATAAATTAAGACTACGAGTATATTTCATTATGCCATAAAATGTTCTGTAAATGCAATAAGAAATCTGGAGAAAAAAACCAGGATAATTATAATACAATGTAACTTGAAAATATTGAAAAATAAGTTAATAAAAAAAAAAAAATAAGAAACACATACCTGATAAAAGTAATATATCAATCACATTACTCATAACACTCATACCTCCTATATTATATCCATTAAAATGAAAATGAAAAAAAATTACCTTAAAAATATATTCTTTAAATTACGAAATATCAAAGTAGGTATTATGTAAAAATATGCAAAACACATGTAAAAATGTAGTTTTAAAAAGTTTTATCTAAAGTGTATTTTTCGCTGATAAAATTATTTATTCAGATAACTGAAAATATAACTTCTTTAAATCCCTACCCTAAATTAGAACAATTAACAATCATAGACGCAAAATCATCCAAACCTAGTAGAACTCTGAAAATTCTCAACTCATTCTCCCACCATCAGTGGCGTATCCAGGATTCATTTAACGGGGGTGTTTTAAAATTTAATAGACTTATAGTAAGTGGGGGTTCTGTCCCCCCTACTCTTTACATTTATAAATACCATGTATTTATATAAATTATTATATTAATGAAAATGATTATATTTACATATACCTACGTTTAGTTAAATTATACTGTAATTAAGTTTGCAATTTGGTGAAATACTATAAAATACGGTCGATGAAGGGAGTTCCAACACCCATATCACCCCTCCTAAATACACCCCTGCCCATCATCCCAGACTTGTCTAATGATGTACTCTTGTATTTATTTTGCATTTTTATCTCGTTATGCAATCGTGTTTAAAATTATATTTAATCATCCATTCGTATTATTATTTTTAAAGAAAACAACGTACAACAGAAGTTCTGAATCGCTGATCACTTTAAATTTTATACCCAAATAAATTATACAGGTTTTTGCTAGTTATTGTTTCTTATAGGATTTTATAAAAGAAATATTTCAATTACCAATCTTAATAAAAAGAAAACAAAAAAATTCTACCAACATCGAATGTGGTTGATGTTCTTTATAATTGAGACAGAATTCGGAATAATTGCATTAAAATCCACTGAAAACTTAACCCGATTTATTAAATTTTCACTTGCAATACAATATTTATGTTTCAGACGATATGGAATACCAGGAAATGAACACATTGCTCGGCAATTTGATTCTACCCGAGTACTTTGTATCTCGAATAGAAATAAATAATTCTTAAACTTATAATAATACACTGTAAGATATTTTTCTGATAATTTCTTATAATTTTATCATAATAAAGAAATATCAATATAATATTTCTTACAAAATATCTATATTATTCGGTGTTATATTTATTGTTTTCCAATTTCACATTGATAATTTTCACACAGGTAATAATTATGCCCATACAATCAGACAATAATGTATGAACAATAATTGATATTTACAATTAAGCAGTCGAGTTTTGGTGCTTTTCAAGACACTTTGTACTTTGTAATTATTTATTTATATTCGAGGTTCAAACTACACGGCCAGAAACAATTTACCCAAGTAATGTGTACATTCTCCGGCATTCCATATCGCCCGTAACATATATATTAGTGACTTGGTTACGGTCAGTTATAACAATTTTTAGGAATAAAAACATTAAATTGTCCAAGTTTTAAATTTAATGTAGGAGTTCAAAAAATGATACTACTTAATTAAATGATGGGATTTTTATTTTTTATTTTAAAATTAATTTTTTATTTAACTGCGATAAGACTAGCCCAATAATCTAAATTACGTCAAAATGTGACATTGGTGCTCCTTGTATTATATATACTGTATTATAGTCACGAATAGGTTATAACTTATAACATTTATAAAACACAAATACTTGAAAAAAAACAAAAAAATTACACTTCCAGATATTTTAGATTTCAGTTATTGTTTTGTATTTAATACATTAATGATCTCAATAGTTAGCTGAAACTACTAAAACACTTATAATGAACCCCACTTAAAGTACAAGTAGATTTTTAAGTTATAGACATCACTCCGGTATTAGTAATAGTACACACAAGACGTTCAAACACTCGACACCGTCGCGTAAGTGCTGCGCGTCGTCGAAAACACTCAAACCGGAGGATAGGTCTTTTGCCGCCGTACGTGGTGTTTACCAACCATACGAATTTTCAACGCGAATTTCTGTTTAACGTGTACGACGGCGAAAACGCGGGGTACAATAACATGTTATAACATAACGACCATGGAGGCGGTGACGGCTGGCTGAAAAGCCGTAAGTACATTACAGTAAAGAGCAGAGCATTATTTGTGTATAACATTTTAATATTTTATTATATAGTTAAAAGAGAAAAAAAATACCTTTTATTTAAACGAATTTGATGGTAAAAAAAAATCTTACGCCTTAGAGGTCGTAACAATTTTACACGTTAAATTAAGAGGGCCACGATGTAAAAAAGTTTAAGAAACATTGATTTAAAACAGCCCAGGGTTGTGTTGTATCGCTATTATAAGGTTTCGACGTAAAATCGTCGACATTTCGCCCTGTATAGTATCGAACTATTATCGTTTATTATACATTGCTATAAATATTATAACGACGTGTGCTTCGAGTTGAGTAGTTAGATAAATAATAAGCCTCATGTGTTGCACCACTGCAGAATACCCGTCATCAATGTATGCATAGTATGTAACCGTGTCACTCGTCGTTAAAGTCAGAGAGTGGCTCTAGTATTCTAGCACATCGATCTGATCGTATCCAATGGTTGCTCAACCCCTTCTAAGATATTTAAAAAATAAAAATAGTTTTACCTCTCACGGTTGTAGTTGGCTAATAAAATATTATAATAAATCCCAATGCAGATTTTAACTATTTTAAATTTAAACTCCCAAACTCCACGACTTCTTGTGCGATATATTAAGACGAAATACAACAAAGTGGTTTGATTGCGTGTTTAGTATTTATTAAAAAATAAAAATAAATATTCCTTTTGTTATTAAATATGTACAATTTTGATATTATTCCGTAGCATTTGTTCGAATGACGTATAACAAATCGTTTTGATGTCATACGTTTAGACGACGTGAAAGTGAGTTGAAAAAATCATCATTGTTAAATAAAATACGCTTGGATCCGTTGACGTTGAAATTGACGTTTATCAAATCCCCTGATACTCCCCCTCCCTCCATTCTGGATTTAAAAAATATGAGAGACCACGTGGATCTGAAATCGTTTTAAACTCGTCGTGTAAATTAATACTGATTAACTGATGGATAATTAAACGTACTTCAGGGTATAATAGAAAGCACTGATTGGTAATAAACTACGAATTCGGATTGCGGATTGTATTTGTTCGTCGCGCAGCATCGGTACGAATTTAATTATGAGCTCTACAACGATTTTCCACGTGGTCATAAAATCAATTATCTTGCAACCGAATGGCAGGTGCGTTGTAGATGATTATCATTCTGTTCTGACGAGACGATATCGAACCGATCGAGTGAAAGAAGCAATGCAAATCGCTCGAGAAAAAAACCTCGACATAAATTATTTATTTATTAATTTTATTAATTTATTTAATTCATTATTTATAATAATTTTTATCATAATTATTATGAAACGCATGAGTATACAGTAGAAACTCGATTAGCTGTCAATTTCCGTTATCAATCATCGTTCTATCGTTTAAGAGGTAATTATGATAAACTCGTTGCGGCGACTATCAAGCATATAAAAATTTTTATATGCGATAAACATGACGTGAACGAACAAATGAAATTATTTTTAGTTAAATTTAATCAGTAACCGACAAGTAACCCGGTCTTGCGGCTACGTAAAATACAAAATATTGCTGCTAAAAAAGCGTCAAAAAAACAAATAACAAATTATTTTGTTTTAAATTATTAGTTTTAGTTTATTAGTGTTTATTATGGCATATAATATATAGCATATTATTTTTTTCTGAAAATACACACGTTGTGATATACGCTTATTGCAAAATTTCTGTTAACCACCTATTCGATAAACCGTCATTGTACCGGTCCCGACTGTCACTGTTGATCGAGTTTCTACTGTACTATTGTTCGTTAGCTTGTATGAATCGACCGTGTATTTGTATGTATGAAAAGTGTGTGGTGTATACCAAAACGATTTTACGAACGCTGTACGAGAAATTATAATGTTATAGATCAAATCGAAATAATGTGATTAGTGCAATATGCCTATGTATACTTTTATCTGTAATGGTGCACGGATTGTGCGTTGTTTATCTCTCATCATATAATATTAAATAACTGTGTATTGCAGGGAGAGAGATTGCCTACATTTCTGGACAAACACAGAAGAATAAATTAAATCGACATTTATCACTACATGCTCTTATGAAATATAAAATTGCATAATCTAAAATTGCATAATCTTGTTAAGCAGTATTTTATTTTAAATTTTCAATATGTCACATTGCAAAATATAATTTTAAAAGTTATCTTTAAAGGATTATATGGATCCATGTGACTTTCAATTATTTTTTTACCGGGAAGCAATTTCAATTGTCAAAAGAACAGTGGTATAAAATATAATTAGAAACAGGTATTTGGCACTCGTCCATTTATTATAAGTTAATTTTGTTATTATCTATTGTAAAATTAAAAACTCAAAACTTTTTTAATTCCCTACATGTCTTTAATTTTCAAATAAAATGTTCAAAAAATAATCTTTTAATTATAATTATATCCAT